AGAGTATCAGTTTAAATTAATATTATCTTCTTAATTGAGTTAAAATTGCTAGTATACCCTTTTAATAATAAGAATTTCTTTAATGATATTTTCATATTTCTAATTCTAACCTAGAAATGATTAAAAGCACATGCCAAAATAGTAATTCAAAACACAATTTAAACAACAATTGTTAAAACAAAAAAGAAAATAATTAAAATAACAATTTATTGATTATCATGCAATTAATTTTTGTTTTTTCTTATTTTTCATATTTCTCATCTTTCTCAACATCATAAAAATAGTATATTATGAATAAAGAGATAAGAAAATGAATGATATGAAATAAATATTTAGGAAAAATTGATAAAAAAAAACCAGTTAAGTATTGGAAATTAAAAAACAAAAAAGGTTATGGATAAAAATAAATTTAACCAAAAAAATAAAGTATTAATACACTAATTTTTCAAAAGTTTGGGGGGCCTGTATCCTTCCAGGACCCCCCAGCTCTTCCTATGGCCCTCAGTCTCAACTGAACCAACAAAACCCACACTTCGCTTCTGATTTGCGAACCGTTTCTATTCTCGCAAATTCTGCAACCAACTTGGAATACTACAAGGATTAACTTTGAATTTGAAAATCTTAGTTCATTTCTCAACCTCCAAATCCAGTTTAAACAAACCTTATTAACAATATCTTAACAGTGTGCAAGGTTAGAGCTTCTATTTTATTTGCAGTGCTTAAAGCTCTGCCTCATGTACCTAAAAACCAAAAAAAAAAACCTTCATGATTGGGCCTACGAGTAAGCATGTGACGAAAGTTTTAATGGTGGAAAGCACGAGCTTATTATTATTCTATTAAAAATATAGAATTCAATAATACTATAATTATAATGTAATGAATATTATGATATGTTATTAAATAAGTAAATATATATAATATTGTATTTGAGTTATTTAAAAAAGATAATCAATTATATAATAATATAGTAAGATTATAAGTTTATATTGTTTTATAATATTATAATTATATTATTATTATATATCGATATTTTTTTTTGGTGAAATGTGAATTAACAAAAAAAAATACAGAAAATAAAATTTTTATTGGGCTTGGATGAAACTTTGTTGAGTTGGGGCCCAGTAAACAAAAATGCAGTCAAGGCCTAAAGAGTAATTCATTGGGTTTTGGGCGAAAGAAAAAGGTACAACTACTGGCCTACAAAGTTAGATTTTCAGAAGGCCCATTCCATTTGACCAAAAGGTCCAAAAATAGGGGTGAATAGAGTATGAGATATATTTGATATTTAATTTAAAAAATTTTTAAGTACAATTTTGTAAATATAGTGCTTATCTTAATATTTATAAACTTATATTTAGTACCTAATTTAACAGGTATCTTATAATTTATGGATACACATTTTTATACTTAATTTATATAAAAAAAATCTTATGAGTTGTTATTAATTTATGGATACATATGTGTTTAACTTAAAATTTATTATTAATATAAGAGTTGCTAT